CTGGGGGCTTAAGCCACAGAATGGAAGTTAACTTCTGCTTCTCTTCTGTCCTGACTCACTGAATAACCCTGAAAGAGTTGTTTGTTTGCTTCTGCAGGTCAGGCCACAGTCAGGCCTGAAAAGCACCTCATTATCTCAGAAGGAGCTATCAAAGCTCCTATGTTTTGCTCTATGAAGAGAGATAGGAGGCTAGCTGGGCTTTGGTCTGATTTAAGTCACTGTTCTAGTGGGCAACAGTGTCCCTTTAGGAACAGCATCGTCCTGGTACAAGAGTTTCATCCTCTGTGTGACTGTTGTACTCCAGGTACTGTGGAGACCGAACAGCAGGCAAGACAGTTCACTAGCACACGGCAGAGAACTTCCTCTAGCCTGAAAGGCAGATTTCCAGGGAGACTAAAGGGTTTGTATCCTGCCCACCCCACCCTACAGGCACCAACTAGGACAGCGCAGGAATTTCTGGTCCCGCAGCAGAGGGGCCATCCACTGTATTTTGAGTAGCAGGACAGATCTGCAACTGCATCTAATCACATGCACCATTTAAACCTGGCTTCAAAGAGAAAGGACAGAGGAAGAAGACATTTCCTGCATCTGCAATAGGATCTTACCAACGTGCAGAAGGCTGTCCTGCGAGGAGGGGGACTGGTGTGTACTCCATGAAACCTGACATCCAGGGGAGAGGCAGGTGAAATGTCCAAAATGTTCAGCCTCATAACTAGACAAAAACTTCCATACTCTACCGCATCAGCAATCTGCCTTCTCTGTTACCAAGCTTCTTCCAAAAAAGCAGTCTTTGTGCTTCCCCATTGCCTCCCATCTTACCCTAGAAAGGGTTATTTTTACCCCATAGTTTTCCATCTCCATTGCCTAGTCAGGAGTTCTTATAACATTAATGCTACCTTCCCATTGAGCATGCCTCATTCCCCAGTCCCTGCCTTAGAACAGACCTTCCCAAGGCATCCACCTGGCACAGACTTTCTTACCTAGATCCAGGATGTGCATGTCACTGAGGTAGAGAGAAGTTCTCCGACCCCCAAAAATCAGCAGCTTGTTCTTCAGTAGAGTAGCTGAATGCCTGGGCAGAGAAGCAGCAAGTGAACAAAGCATCTTCAGCAAGTTCCCAAAACTGATGTTCCAGCCTTGGCTTCTGCTATTGGGTTGCCACAGCCTCAGTCTACACCTGCCTCTACCCAAGCCACTGGGGCCCAAGGGCAGAATCCCACCAGGATTCATGACAAGAGGTACTGGGAGTCACACTGCTCAAATCATAGCCCCGTCTTAAGGAGCAAATGGTGGAAAACAATCACCTAATATTTAGGAAATTACACTGGGGTGGGAGGGAAGGTGAGCAGAGGCTTCCACTCTGTTTTGGAGGGTTGCAATAAGAGCACTCACCCAAGCCTAGGCAGAGGCTTCTCCCCTTCTGAGATGGGCTGGTACCAAATTTCATGCTCTGGATTGAACACATAGAGCGCATTGCTGCAGGGCCCAACTGCCAGCGATGCCTTTTTGGGGAAAGACCCTCCAAAAACAAAGAGCTCCTTGCGGTAGATAGTGGCACTGTGGTAGGTGAGCGCTGGCATCCTCCCTTTAGCCTGGAAAAAGTTCAACATACGTTTGTTATGAAAAGTGTGTTATTTGCTGCATGACCCATAGGGAAGGGGCCCACATCATGCAGTGAGTTTGATAAGTCTCAGTTTTCACTTTATTGCCTCCCCAGACAGATCTTTGTCACAAAGGCACAGTACATCCTTTGCATACTCTGCACCACCAGAATGCTCTGATGAGAGAAGAAGTCAACCTCCAACCCCAGCTTCCTCAGAAGACAACAGAGAACAGAAAGATCTCATCCAGGCTTATCCTGTAAAAGCCATCCTGTGCCTTAGCCAGGAAACAGACAGATACTCCCTCGCTGACAGGGCCTCCTGCAAGGACATGACAGGCAACTACAGAGCTCATAGATCTGCTGTGCTCAGAGGAATCCCTGATTTGAGAAGACCAGCTCTTCGCCTCAGCATCCAGTGCAGCTCTCAACATATAAAATGAGAGGCCACGTCCCTCTGCGGCTTGTACAGTACCTCCCACCCACAACCTTTGCCAACACACCACTCAGCCGCAACCATTTTTTCACCTTGCTTCGTTAATTTTAGGCACAGCCCCTGGTTTCTGACAAGCTGGTGGCCTTTCAATACAGCCTTCTTATATCTGTCAGTCCCAACTAAGCAGCTCATACAACCTCCAGCAGCAGTGGACCAAGACTACTGGAGTAAGGATACTGCCACGTTCAGGAGGGACCTGCCACCCCTCCCATGCTTTTGCCTTGGAAGAGCTGCAGTACTTACAGCCACAAGGAGCCATTTCCAGGTGACTGTGTCCAGAATGTAGATGCCACTGAAGTCTTTGTCCTCCTTTATGCCCCCAAAGACATAGATACGCTTGGTGTCTGGGTCATAGGTAGCTGTGTGACCACGCAAGTATGATGGCATGGCATTTTGTAGCTGGGAACCCACTGGAAGCCAGAAATCACTGTCTGTGGGAACAACACCAGTTGGTGTGGGAATTCAAAGATTCCCAACTCATTAGGAAATTGCCTGGTGTGGCATCACCACCAGCCACTACCCAGAACTGACCATGCTAGGAGGTGTGACATCTTTACTGTCCCCTCCCCACACACAGACCCCTGAGGGCCCCCTCCCAAAAGCATGACTTGTTCTTGAGTTCCATCACCCCCATTGCCTTCAATAGCCTGAAGTCCCCACCAATTTCCAATTTCCAGAGTGCATCCTTGCAAGACTGCTCATCAACACCTTCTCCACCGATCAGAACAGCTGTCCCCAGGTCACTGAGGCACATGGCATGGCACCACCGGGGGCTGGGACTGCCTGGGGAGGGGAGAGCACAGGGCTGTGAGCAGAGTCAGACAAGACACCCCAATCCCCTTCCCTGCTGGGGTGAACAAGGCAGATGAAGGCTCAGATGGAAGAAATGAGAAGGCAAGAGCTCCAGGTCCCTTTCCTCTGGGGTGGCAAAAGACATAGCTCCCTGGGTAAGATTTTCTGTTGGCTTTGGGGAATAACTGCTGTACTAGGAAATATATCGCTATCAGATGGAGCCAGCAAGGAGTCTGGCTGGATGGTAGGACACATACAGGCTGCCACTTCAGACAGGCTTGGATGCCCCCACTGATTACCCATCCCCAGAAGAGATATCCCAGTTGTGCAATCCCCTTGCATTATCCTTGTGAGGGAGGGCTACCCGGGGACAGCTTGTTAGAGCCTAAGATACAGCATCCAGAAGCTGGCAGCTGCTTCCAGAGATATTTCTTGTACTGCTCTGTTCCTCCTCCTTTCCTCTCCCAGGCCGCTGCGGTTGGCTGAGCAAGCTGAAAAATACTTTTTAATTAAAGTCTATTCCACATCTTACCCTCTGCCTCAAAGGGCTGTGCACCCAGAGGTGTGCCTGAGATTCAGAGAGGCTACAGAAGCATATTGGAGAGCCCGACCTATACTGAGGGCAATTGGATGGAGAGGAACAGTACATACACACAACCTACTTACTGTTCCTTATCACTGCAGAGATAAAGGATCAAGAATGAAAGGCCTGTGACATTAAAGGAAATGGCACCACTGAGTGGCTGAAAAGACAAACCAGGGTCTAGGAACCAGATCCTCACCTTGCAACTCCTTCACCGCCAGATCTGCAGAGGAAACACAAAGATGGTCTCATAAAGAAAGCAGCCAGCAGGGATACCCTGGAAAGTGCTCTGCTCCATGGTTTAAGAGCCCTTTGGCCTTCCTTCCTCCAAACCCCAGCACAAAGCTACATCATTGCAACAAACAAGGTGCAAGACCAAGAATCATGAAGAAAGTCTCATCAGAAGAAATGCAGAAGACAGGTAAGAGCAGTGGCACACTTCCCCTCTCTCCTATCACACTGACGCCACTGCATTTGACCCCTCTGATGGAAGCTGATTTCCCCCATTCTCACACTGCCTACAGCAGAAGCAACTTTATGATGGAGTTGTATTTGCCTTTGTGAGAAGCAAGCCAAGTCCCAGTAAGTCATTTCATATCAAACATTTACACACAAACTTGGTCACACCCTGGAGCTGACTTGGAATTCACACTCCAGAAGCTAAGAGTTTTGTTTCCAAACCTCCTGGGAGCACCTTCTCACTACTGAAAAGTCAGTACAGTTATACTAATTACAGATATATTCCCTTTCATATTCTCTATACTTTAATAACAACCAATGTCCTCTACAGACCAAGTGGTATATGCTGTTAGTAAGGGAGCAAACAGACTAATGGAGAGGTTACAGAACTTCACAGCAAGTAACTTCCTTGTGCTTCAACTTACTGTTTTGTAAAACAAGGCTAACGACACTCGCCTTCATGTTATGGTACAGAGTGTTGGCACTAAGAGTACCCCATGTTCTATTTCTGGCCTTTTCCCAACAGGCAAAAATTCATCAAGCAGTTTAGCCAGGACTAAGGAGCAGTTCTTGGTACTTTGCAAGCCAAGAGACACAAGCCCATCGTGCCTTGGAGGTATACAGAGAAAGGGACTGGGATGTTGTTGTCCAGCAGCATTGACAGATCATTTAGACAAGACCCACAAAATACACCTGAAAGCTGCCAGAGTTACCTTCTTCATCAAGATCGCTCTCAGATGCTGTGGGTTCAAACAAAACTTTCCTGGGCTTCTTGGGGTGGACAGGACTCTTCCTCCAGGCCTCACTGGCCTCCACTTTGACAGATGGTGGCTTCAGGCCACAGGGTACTGCCAGGGTCCTCAGTGATGGGCGGACGTCCTTCCTCTCGAGCCTGCAGTCACCTCTAGCAGTCACCTCTGAGCTCTGACTATTAACCTGCAACAAGAGTCCCAGTCAAATCAGCCCTGAAGAAAAAGACCTGAGGTGACCTGCCTATTACTGGGCCAGAGATTAGTTTCACATGGTGGCTGTTTTCAGGCTCGTCCTCCTGTTGAGTCTTAAGGGCCAGCATGCCAACAGTATCAGCCATAAAATACATGCTGAGCAATACAGCTACCTGTTGCTATATGCCCAGTGGTCCACTCCCAGAGCACTGGCTGTGACGGGCACAGCCAGCACAAGGCAACTGGAAAGGCCATCTGTGCTAGGAGTAAGTAGGCTGATCAAGGGCTCTTAAATTCAACCCTTTCAAAGGCATTTCAACAGAGAGCACTAGTTTCTTTAGCAAAAGTGAATCTTCAGCTTCAAAACCTGCTCAGCCAGGTCTCCACTAAGAGAGTGGCAGAAAATGCTTCTGCTAGGCATCAACTGAGCAGCTATGAGTGAGGGAGAAGATACTAAGGAGGGGGTGAAATAACGAGAGGAAGACTCCAGGATACACATACTGCAGTAGGATCCTCTAGGTACTGGCCAAGGGGCACATCATCCACTGGGAGCACTGGTGACTGTGTGGTCTCTGGGACGAGGAAGGGGCGGGCGGGCGTACTGTTGGAGACACCTCGGAGCAGCTGCAGCAGAAACAGTGACAGCAAGAATAAAAAGACATGTCAAGTGTACTGGCCTCCATCCACAAAGAGTGAGCAAAATTATGTCTTGCAAGGGACAGATTCCTTGCAAGGGAACAGCCCAGCTTTCATCTCCACCACCAACAGAATAATCAAAGAAGAGCAAAGCCAGGCACTGGGAGATGCTAAATCCAAGGGCTTCAGTGCAAGGTAGAACAACTAAGTACTATAAACACAGAAGAGAGGGGAACTGGAGGCGAATCACTCTCTGCTACCCATCTCCTATGATTTTGGCAAAGCTCTGTTTAGGCAGTAGGCCTGGAACATCACAGAAGGTTTAGGCTCAGCACAGATGTGCATTAACAGATCTGTGCGAGGTGGCTCTCTGCCTTCGAGTAGCAAAGAGAAGGAAAGGGGAGGATGGGAGAGGAAGTTCTGTAGCTCAGAAGTGACAAGGTTTGGGAGCCAGGGCAGGAAGAGAGGAGGATGTCGGTTCATTTACCTGCCCATTGACAGTCAGGACAAGCTTCACAGAGTTGCCTTTATCCATCTCTTTCAATGAGGCCATGAAAACATCTGTTCTCCAGTCACCTTCCCACACCAGAGACCTGCACAGGGGACCACAAGTTTTCAGCCCACAAGTGACACCGACTAGTGAAAAATTCCTGCTCCCACACTAGCTGATAACATCCCAAAGCCAAAAAAGATCTAGCCCTGGAAGCAGCCAAAAGGAAGCTGAAAGCAACACTAGAGGGAAACACCACCGTGGAGGACTGGGAGCCTGAGCAGTTTGGGGACAACACCAGCAGCCCCAGGCAGCACCACAGAGCAGAAAGCTTTTCCAGCACACGCCTCCCGACACCCCAGGAGCGACCTGTGGGCTGGCTCCAGCGTGCCGACCCGCTGCGGCGGGATGCCCGGGGACACCAGCACGTCCACTGCCACGCTCGTCTCCGGAGAGTAACAGCTCCAGTCCCCCAGCCCAGCGGTTTTGGAACGGGCGGGGCCAGCCAAGCCTGGAAACCCATCTTGCTGGACTGGCTGTGAGGGAGGGAAGAAAAGCAACAGAAACCAGAGATAATCAAATACCAAAAGGGAAGGTCCAAAAAATACTTTAAGAGGCTTGAAAACACGTTTATGCAAAGGGGAGGGCAAAAGGAGAGGGTTTGAGAAGAGACAGGGCAGGGATGCGATGAAGAAGATAA